ATATACTTCAAATTACACTTAAGTGTACTTCACTTATACTAAGAGAAAAGCAAGTATATTTGTCCTGTTCTTGTACTCAATCTTGTGATCCAGAAATACTTAAAAGTATAATTAAGTATTCAAAGTATACTTGTATAAGTATTACAGTAAAAGTAAACTACCAGTATACCCATAAATTCACTTTTCAGTACACATGAGATACATAATTATGAACTAGTTGTGCACTTACTGTTACACTTATAGTACACTTATGTACTAAAAGTGGGCCAATTTAGTCCCAAGCTGTATTAAAATAGTACACTTACAAGTTTACTACTAGTACATAGTGACATTAGTGTACTTACTACATAATGTATACTTAAAATATACTTGAACATTACTTAAGTATACTACATAAAATGAACTTGAAATATACTTCTTTTTCGTAAGGGAAGATGAATGTGTATGTGGAAGTAAAGTGAAATTATTTATGAATTTGGAGCTTTCTAGACTGAGAAAAACCAGAAAATGTATTTTTGGGTTATGTGGATGAAAGACAACAACTCCCAGAATGCACTTGCTTCGCTACCCTAGGAGGCCACGCCCACTGGTAACAGAGCAAAGTTTTGATAAACAGGGTTACAGGTTTACACGACAACGATAAGCTTAAACCTGAGAAGAGTTTTCTGGCCAAAATAGCATTCGTATTTAGTGGAAAACAGCGTCGTGTAAACAGCTCCAAAGTGCACTGATTTTAAACGAGTAAACAACAAAAACACGACACTCTGAAGACGATGACGTCACGTGTTCAGTCTATAGTGTTTCATCGCCATCTACTGGCCCAGACGCGTTCGCGGATCCGTGTGAATGAGGATTGTTTTGATATTGTTGTCGTTTAATCGTAAGTTTCATACGCCGTCAGGGTTTATTATGAGCAGATTGTCTGGTTGATTTGCCACACCTGTTCTTCATTCCTCTGCTCTTTATCCTGTGTTTACAGTCTATATTCAGCATCGGTGTCCTTGTCCAGCCCTGCCTGATGCTGGACGTCTCGTCCGGAAGCGCTCCTGTCCCCAGGGGTTATTGCTGTTTTATATTATTGTCAAATAAAATCCCATTTCTCTGCATCTCTGAGTCCTCTCCTGACGCATGCACTGAAACACGGGGACACGAGCTGCTGTCCTTCATCCGTCAGCTGAGGTATGGATTTCGAAATAAAGAGCAATGATTGTTTTTGATCTGGAATCTGTTCATGCAGCGAGACAATGCCGGATCAACGTTGTTTCGATGTCATGAGAGACGTCGTTTCCACGTTGATTCAATGTCAGTTTGCTGTCTGGGAAACCACAACCAGCCAATCAAATCCTCACAGACACAATTTTTACAAATGTTCTTTTTCTTTCTTGATTTTTGCTGTAGTTTCCCATTAGCCACTCTAGAAGTTTAACACAACGATGGCGACTTCTGCTTCTGAACCGCAGATATGTGAAAGCGTGGATCAGAGAGAACTGAGCTGTGATATCACTAATGGAGTTTATCTGAGTCTCACAGCAGAAACACGACAGATGGAGGATCAGCAGACGCCGCCAAACCAGCACACTGACACACACATGCACACACACATTTAACTATTTAAGTCCACTTAAAAGAAATGATTTACAGGGACATATAAATACTATAGATGCAGTCAAATGCATGCAGATCTTCACAGTATTGAGCGTCACTCAGTTCTTTATGAACACAACTATGGCGTCGTCTTCGCCAGATATGAGCTAGCCGTTCAGCCCTCTTTTGGGCATCCTATAGTTGTTGAAGCCCTCTTACAACCAGCCTGTGTGTGTGTGTGATCTAAACTGCCGAATATGAGCACAACAAGTAGTCGGCTCTTATAACCTAATTCTGAGATGATGTTTAATCATCTTAGTCACAAAGGCTTCGTCCATGCTATAATCAAAGGTACATAAGGTCACAAAGGTCACAGTCCCAGAGTCAGACCGCACACGTTCAGGTCCCGCCAGTCTGACCAGACGCCATAGCAGGCCCAATGGGGTCACACACACACTCACTCAGTGTATCCTCAGGTGTGTGTATCGAGTGTGTTTCCTCATTAGGACGGCATCAAACGCTGATCATAAACATAATAAATATCTGGATGTTGTCCACAGTGTAAATGTTTATCTCGAGTGTCAGCGAGTGTGTATGATCACACACACGGATAATAACTCTGAGGAGACCAAGTGTTTATGATATTATGCGCTTCATAATACAAACACACTCTCCTTTGTACTGAGTGCAGAGTCACACACTCCTGTTCCACACTGCAGTTAACCTTCTCTAACGTGTGTGTGTGTGTGTGTGTGTGATGTCAACCTTAATGATGAAATGTCAACTTTTTTACAATTTGTAGTGCATTTAAAGGTAGTGTAGGTCAGAATTAAAAAAAACAACAACTTTTTTTTTTCCAAATTTCTTTAAACTTTCTGTATATATCAATGCATAATTGAAATCTAAGTACTCTGAAAAAGAAAGTATAAAAATCGAGTGTCGGTAGACCTCTCACGACTGTTTTAAAGACAGCTTATTATTTCCATTAACTCCGCCCCCTCCCTTCTGGGCTCCTTCCAGAGCCACGCCCCCAAAACACATGAACGCGCGACTCCGACCGCTGAGCTGAAGACGCGTTTATTTACCTGACACGAGCGGATTCTGGATACGTGCAAGTAGGTCCTGTGTGGCAAAAGGGTGGTTGCCATGGTTGCGAGAGAGTGACATTAGCTTAAGCCAATCCGTTGTTCCGTTGTTCGAAATAATGAGCTGTGTTTAGTGCAGATTAAACGGTCTAGAGTCACTCGATTTTTATACTCTTTTTTTTCAGAGTACTTAGATTTTAATTATGCATTGATATATATAGAAAGTTTAAACAAATTTGGAAAAAAGTTTTTATAAATTTCTGACCTACACTACCTTTAAGATCAGGATAGACTGGTCTCAGCGCCACATGAACAGTGCACTACACTGGAAACCAGCCATAAACACACCTGACACACACACACACCTGACACAGTCGTAATTAGACACACTAAATGTCACCCAATCAAAGTGCAAAACTACACAGCAAATCTCTCTCCAAAACCAAAGCTATTTCTCAGGCTTTTCAATCGCATGAAACACTTTTTTCAAAACACCACACACACAATTCTCCACCTAAAACACACAAATCTAACAGGAAGTGACTTGCGTTCCTTTTCCAATCAAAATGCTACACTTATTCACCAGGTCACACACACACACTCCTCACATGTGCAAACACTAATCACTTTACTTATCACTAACCAATCACTGCTTTACTGCATAGGCCTATAAATAGGTCAAAGGTCAGATTACCTGTTTTTAACAATGCATGCCAACAATGGACAGAGAGCAAGAGGAGGAGGAAGAGGAAGATGATCCCTTAGAGAGGATTTACAGTGGCGTCCATAATTCAAACACAGGTATGCAACTAGATAATGATATTTAGTTCGTTAAATACGTATGACTGCAGAGTATTGTATAGTATTATATTCTATTTATTTTACAGATGTTTACCCAGATAGCAAACTGACATTGAATCAACGTGGAAACATGACATCGAAACAACCATTGTTTTGCTCATCGAATTAACGTTGAACCAACGTCTTTCAAAACTAACGGAAAATCAACTTGAAATCAACGTTGTTTCAACGTTATGAAAGCAAACCAATTTTCGATTTTCATTTAGCTTTAACGTTGGTTCAACGTTAATTCGATGAGCAAAACAATGCCAGATCAACGTTGTTTCGATGTCATGTTTCAACGTTGATTCAATATCAGTTTGCTGTCTGGGTATGGTTTTGTAGTTTGCTGTAAACAACAGCAATGTTCGTGTGTGTTTTTGTGTGAACAAATGTAGCTGGTTTATAAAATTGTGAACGTGAACGACGCTTAGGAGATTTGACGTGCCAATTGAAATATTCAAGTCTTCAATATTAAAGACACGATAGGAAACTCAATCGATCACTCGTTACCGAATCACACATTCAAACTAGACTCTGTCGAAGTGTCGCGTGTCCTCATGAACACCGCGCGGTGTGTCTCTAGTAAACGCGTGCGTATCGCTCTTAAAGTGACAGTAGCCTAACATTCCTACCGTCTGTGTTTTAATATCAAACAAGAAAAGACAAACAATCACTCATTCTCGAATAACATTTGTAACTTTAACAAGGATTTATCTATTTTTCATGGCTGGTAAAAATATTAACGTCTTGTAAATTTCCGTCCGATGACGGGTGTGGCGCGAGTGAAGACGATCAGCATTGAGGGATTGTTTTTGTCAAATCTTTATGCGTATGGATTAGATTCACATGCAGGTCTGAGCCTGAATATTACATGTTCAGAAGTATGTATGGAATGTCTGCACATGTCGAAGCGTGTATAGAAGTGACGCACGACTCTTCTAGAATTCACAATTTACTCAAATATTATTATTGATTTTGTCTTCATATTGTGTAGTTGTGCTTGGAGTCGATTGTTTTATGTGATAATAATGCAATGAAACATGACAAACATAATCTTTGTCCAGCCTGTCATACAAAGCAATTATGAACAGATTTGCATTTATAACTGATTATGTTGTATTATTTTCGCACAGTAGCTTCATTTTTTTTTTGCCAATTTTGTTAAACACCTCAACCAAGTTTAGCGATTGTTCTTTTCTCATATTTAACATATTTTGCTGATTTAATCGATCTTGTCATTAAAACGAATTTCTCCTCTAGATGTTGTTTTTGGACACTATTGTACATTTGTAATATCTATAAAAACATAAAATACTGAAAATGTGTTTTTCTGGCTTATGCTAATCTCTAAAATTGATTTGTTTTTGCCAAAAATACTACTTTATATTTTTCTATCGTTTTTCAAAAGTTAAATTGATGAAAACAAAGTGTAGGCTGTAAACGACACGGTTGAAAACGACAAACACAGAACAAACATTTTAAAAGATGTCCATCTGAATATTACAGACTTTTATTTGCATTACAAAACAAAAATTGTGCATTCCAAGACGTCAACATACAAAAAAACACTGCATGACTTTAAAGCATTTGAGCAGAGATGTTACAAGAGCGAGTCTGTTAGGTGTCACTCAAATCCTTGGCTCCGCCCCCCGGCTCCGCCTCCTCGGCCTCCCCTTCCGAATCAACAATCTTCATCAGAATATCAGTGGTGCGGTTTACAAAAAGAGGAGGACGTGGGCACAGAAACAAAAAGGGCTTGTACGGTCATCTGCATTTTTTTTTTTTATTATTTTTTTGGTTGTCCAATCACAATGCGACTTAGGTCATATTTTTCCGTTAAAAGTTAAACAGCGAAAAGACGTGAAAAAGAAGGCAATGTGGAATGTACAGTGCATAGAAGAGTGGAGAACGAGTTTCATGACGAGCCCGCCTGCTTCTCCTGTTCAATGGCTGGAAAACAAGAGCAAAAAAAAAGTGTTATTGGGTTTCATAATCATAATTTCATGTTCCTCAAAAGGAAAGTGTGCGGAATCTTACTTTCTTTTGACGGCAAAGGATTTTTCTCCTGAGTTTCTGTTTTCTTCAGCTTGGTTTTGTCAAAGCTGGTCACTTCCTCGAGATTTGGCTTGTCAGACATGTTTGCAGTAGGTCTGAAATGAAATGGCTTGATATTAATGTTGAGAAAGAAACACACACACACACGACGATCCCCATTAATATTCATATACGTGACCGACCAGTATGGGCTAATTCCAAATGTTTCCCCAACAATTGGTATTTGGTTATAGTTTATGTTCTAATGCATGACTAAATAATCTAAATATGCTATAAAACTGCTCAAAAGTGCAGTAACGCAGTCAGTATGGAAGAGGAAACGCTGCTGTTGCATCACAGTCTTGAGAAACCACCGCCCTTTCCTGCCATTCTTCTCATATTTCACTTCATATCAACGTTTCCGTCAGTAAAAACATTCTTTCTGCTTTTGCACTGATCTAAGCGTGTAAATTCGAACATTTATGCAGTATTTTGAGGCGTGGGATATAAAAAATGATCACGCTTTACGTCAGTCATTCATGAACAAAGAGAATGCATGCATCTATTGTCTCTGATAAGTTACATATAACGCAAAAATCACCAAATATAGCGATTAACAGTCACATTTCGTGTAAAGCTGATGCATTTATACCACATATAACGTTACATGCGCCAAATGTGCGCGTGAGAAAAAGTAGCGTCTAAAAAAAACCCCGAAATCTAGAGTATAATTAAGAGATTATAATAATAAAACGCATGATGTTATGTAATATATAAGAGTATTTAAAAAGAAAAGGAGATATTCGAGAGCTTACCAGAGTGTGTGTTGGTAGTTGAAGTGGTTTATTCTCCTGCAGCAGTGTGAGGAAAAGCGCAGAATCACAGCATTTATAACCAAAGATATGCAAATCAGGCGAGTGACGTCACCGGACCGTTAGAGGAGTCGTTCCTCCGCGGAGTCTGCGGGATCTATAAAACAACCGATTGTCTGAGGAAAACCTCTTTAGTCCAAGAAAGAATGGAAATATGCAATTATTTTGTATTTAATAAGAGTTTAGCAGTGAGGAACGTACAAGGAAGTCGTATCAACGCCGTTTGCTGACTCTGAAGTGAACGACGCCCTCTGTTGTGCGACAGTGACATCTAGTGGACACTACACACATCACATCCGCATTCTTGGAATATGCCCTACAAGTACATACATGTACTGTTTGTGTGAAAAATAAGTAGTGGCCTACATACTTTTGAGTGTGTAGCAGCAGATAATGTAGATTTGGAACAGTAGGCTACTTCGTCCCGTGTTTCCTATCAGCGTTTAAACTGCCCTGTCAATCATCTTGCCACAATTAAAATCCTGCACATTCAATGACCGCCTCCTCATTGTAAAGATAATGACCAAACGCATCTTTGAAAACGTTCACAATGCTGTTGCAGATGAAATATAGGGTGGAATGGATGACATAAATAAATATATTTTTTGTCAGATAAGATACTGATCATTAATAACTCAAACCCCCTTTATCTCTTTATCTAAAAACTCTGCTTATGGTGGTCTCGCACATCCACCATGTTTGTAGTTTTTTAACACGTTTTATTCGTGTTTGTAGTTTGTGTTCGCATTTCCGGATTCTAATCGGGGGAAGAGTAGAGATTTTTTGGAATACTCATTTCAACATACTACGATTTAGGACACACTAAAACCAATTCTGAAAAGCCTATCTTTGAGGATGGATAGATAGTATGTGAATTGGGACCCAGCTATGGATATTGTCACCACAGTAAAAAAAAAAAAAAAAAAAAAAAAAAAAAAAAAAAGTTTTATTGTTTGTCTTAAAGTAGGCTAAAAAGTTTTCATAATTGCCTATAATAGCCTATAACAAATAAATAAACTGAAAGAGTGTTTTTCATTGTATTTTGGATATTCACACAACAGGATCAGAACTGATTGTCCTGGAAAACAAGACAAAAAATAATGAAGATCATTGTTTTTTCTTCTTCTACATTGATTCTTTTCTGGATATAAACTGCTAACCTCCTGCCTTCTGTCAGCTAACAAACGCTATAATGCTAAACGCTAATGCTCAAATAAACAAACAAACAAACATTATTCTGCGTTAATAGATCACACCAAACATGTAGGCTATAACAGAAAGCATATTTCAGTGAAACAGGAAGTGTGTGAGATCATTTCCTGTTAGCTGCTAGCACACCACAGCAGTTCCTTGCTAAATCTGCTGACTTTCCACATCATTTAATGATAAAAATAGGAAAAGGCTCCTTGTGAAGTGTTTCTTTGCACGATATCTCTCTCGTGTGTGTGTGTGTGTGTGTGCGCGCGACTGCGCGTGCGTGCAAAGAGTACCATAACTAGTGATTCACAAAAAACGAGTTTCTGTCTTAGATTAAAAAAATAATGATAAAAATTTTTGCAACAATTTTGCATTTCACTGGACAGTTTTGTGATGAAACAATTGGGGGTAAAAATGTTCCTGTGTGAAATATAAACAGAATGTGTGCAAAGAGAAACTGGAGTTGCAAATAACTTTAATAGTTCAAATTTTACAAGATTGTACAAGTGAGTTTCTGCCTTACATAAAAATAAACACAAGTAAATTACAACAAACTAATTAAAACATTAGTAACCAAGTGAAGGATTAATTTAGTTCTTGCTAACATTTACAATAAAGTCCATTATTAATGTTAAACTATCATTAACTAGTTGTTATCATTGTTAACGTTAGTTAATAAAAATGTCACCTCATGTTTTTGGAATAATAAATGTGTTAGTAAATATTGTATTAGAAAATGTCGAACTTAACATTGACTGAGATTAATAAATTCTTTAGGAGTATTTTATTGTTAGTTCATGTTAACTAACGTAGTTAACTAATGTTGACAAATGAAACCTTATTGTAAATGTATGTGTAATGCATATATATATATATATATATATATATATATATATGCCTACATCATGTATATATTATATATACATCATATATACTTGCCTTTTTTGGAAACACAAAGTTTGTTTGCAAAGAGAAACATGTAAAATTAATTAAAAAAAAAAATTTAAATTAAAAAATAATTTCAGTTTCTGCGTTAAATGTTGAATCAGCTTGTTTCTACAAGTCATTTCAACTTAAATTATACTAAACTGACATTTATCAAATCTATTTTGACTTACTGATCATAGAGTGAGTTTCTGCATTAAAAAATAAAAATAAAGTACAAAACTCAATAATTAGTAACCAAGTAAAGAATTAATCTTCAAGTCATGCTTGAAATTTCATGCAGGCTCCAGAATAAAAGTGACGGACGAGTAAAACGACATCTTCTCCCTTTCTTCAATTATTATTAAAGTTTTTAGTCATATAAGCAATTAAACATTGTGCGTGTTTTATTCATGATAATAACGCAATAAAACATGACATCCTTTTTGTCCGAGCGGAGAAATTATGAACATGCAAAAACAAGAAATTCAATCAAATTCAACTTTAGTGTTATGTTCTTCCCTCATATATAATATATTTTCTGTAACACTTTACAATAAGGTTCATTAATCCACATTAACTAAGAATGAACAATACGTATACAACATTTATTAGTTAATATTAGTTTCAACATTTACTAATACATTATTAAAATCAAAGGTTGTATTAGTTAACATTAGTAAATGCACAGTGAACTAACATGAGCACACAATGAACAGCTGGATTTTTATTAACTAATTTTACCAAAGATGAATAAATACAGTAACAAATGTATTGCTCATTGTTAGTTCATGTTAGTTATTACATAAACTAATGCTAAATAATGAACCTTAATGTAAAGTTTAACCATAATTTCCTCGTATTTTGATGGTTTAAGGGGGTCATCACTTCAATTTTGCCTGATAGTCATTGTGTGTCGTGGCTCCGATCGGGTCGGGGTCGCGCCTCTACTTGGTGGTGAAGTATCGGCTGTAGAGGTCGCTGTACATGGCCTGGTTGTCGACCCGTACGGCGTTGCGCAGGGATTGCCAGAACCAGGCCTCGGCGCACGGGGAGCGGGGCCACTCCAGGATGCTTCGGGAACACAGCCGTCTGCGCAGACGCAAGAAATGCGAGTGTTGAAGAACGGGCTCCAGGAGCAGCAACACGATCACGTCCTCGTTCTCCTCCAGGAGGCGCTGGTGGGCCAGGAACACGGCCAGCTTGAAGGATCCGCTGGTCACGTAACTCTCGGTCAGCACGAACACGGTTTTGCGGCTGTGCTGGATGCTCTGGGTCAGACTGTCCAGCACCGGAGAGCCGGGGAGCCAGTCCCGTTCCTCCAGGCAGATCGGAAGAAAGCGCTCGCCCCGTTCCTCCAGCTGCACCCGCAGGTGATTCAGCACCCAGTCGGACACCTGCAACATCCACACCGTCACTGACATGAGCTTAAACTGGGATAGTTCACCCAAAAATAAAAAAACAGCCCATGATTTACTCTCACTCAAGCCATCCTAGGTGTGTATGACACTCTTCTTTCAGACGAATGTAATCTGAGTTATATTAAAAAAACGTCATGGCTCTTCCAGGCTTTTTGGTAGTGAATAACTGTTTCTGTTTTGAAGTCCATAAAAAATGCATCTATCCATCATAAAAGTGCATCTGTCCATCATAAAAGTGCATCTATCCATCATAAAAGTGCATCTATGCATCATAAAAGTGCATCTGTCCATCATAAAAGTGCATCTATCCATCATAAAAGTGCATCTATCCATCATAAAAGTGCATCTATCCATCATAAAAGTGCATCTATCCATCATAAAAGTGCATCTATCCATCATAAAAGTGCATCTATCATCATAAAAGTGCATCTGTCCATCATAAAAGTGCATCTATCCATCATAAAAGTGCATCTATCATCATAAAAGTGCATCTGTCCATCATAAAAGTGCATCTGTCCATCATAAAAGTGCATCTGTCATCATAAAAGTGCATCTGTCCATCATAAAATTGCATCTGTCCATCATAAAAGTGCATCTATCCATCATAAAAGTGCATCTGTCCATCATAAAAGTGCATCTATCCATCATAAAAGTGCATCTATCCATCATAAAAGTGCATCTGTCCATCATAAAAGTGCATCTGTCCATCATAAAAGTGCATCTGTCCATCATAAAAGTGCATCTATATAAAAGTGCATCTATCCATCATAAAAGTACATCTATCCATCATAAAAGTGCATCTATCCATCATAAAAGTGCATCTGTCCATCATAAAAGTACATCTATCCATCATAAAAGTACATCTATCCATCATAAAGTGCATCTATCCATCATGAAAGTGCATCTGTCCATCATAAAAGTGCATCTGTCCATCATAAAAGTGCATCTATCCATCATAAAAGTACATCTATCCATCATAAAAGTGCATCTGTCCATCATAAAAGTACATGTATCCATCATAAAAGTGCATCTGTCCATCATAAAAGTGCATCTATCCATCATAAAAGTACATCTGTCCATCATAAAAGTACATCTGTCCATCATAAAAGTGCATCTGTCCATCATAAAAGTGCATCTGTCCATCATAAAAGTGCATCTATCCATCATAAAAGTGCATCTGTCCATCATAAAAGTGCATCTATCATAAAAGTGCATCTATCCATCATAAAAGTACATCTATCCATCATAAAAGTGCATCTATCCATCATAAAAGTGCATCTGTCCATCATAAAAGTACATCTATCCATCATAAAAGTACATCTATCCATCATAAAAGTGCATCTATCCATCATGAAAGTGCATCTGTCCATCATAAAAAGTGCATCTGTCCATCATAAAAGTGCATCTATCCATCATAAAAGTACATCTATCCATCATAAAAGTGCATCTGTCCATCATAAAAGTACATCTGTCCATCATAAAAGTGCATCTGTCCATCATAAAAGTGCA